CCTTAAGTTGGAAGGTGCTTGTTTAAAGTGCACGATCCAGCTAGTGGAATACTGTCCAAACTTTGTATCGTTTGGGCGCACCTGTATTGGCATGACGCCGCAAGCTGCCTGGCATTCCATCTTCACCATTTCCCTGGTTACTTCAATTCTTCCGTCTAATGTACGGATGTAGATTGGGACATGCGGTACCATGACGGATGTCTAGTCTGACGCCGGTTCGATTGTGATTTCCTCTTTTTGGAGCGAAGGACCCACACCCAGAATTGATTCCCTGAGTGCATCTGATGCGCACTCCATTGCTAGGCCAGACCTAACTTGTGTCATTGCTATGATTGCTGAGGGTGCAATCCCAGCTTTCTCTGTGACAATTTTCTTGATAGTGGCTGGTGATAACTTGCGCCACTGATGCTCTCGTCCCATTCGAAGAAAAAGTCGTTTATATTCTTTGGGGGGTTCTTTTTCTGCTGGTCGTGTCTACACAACAGGCCTTCGTTTGACCAGGTTGGCTGGCGGGTCTGGGAGCTTGGCCGCTTTTCGTGCCACTGTGACCCAGGGGGACTCAGCCACTTGAGGCTTTTTCGGCAGTTCATGAGGCGGTTTCTCGTTTATCTTTGTCACCCTTGGCACAGAGGTTTTCATCTGAGTGGCTTCGGGGAAAGGGTTCTTACATGAGTTGTATGTGGCGTTGACGTTGCTTATTGCAAAAGCTGTCACAATAGGTGAAATCTTTTCAATAAAAGGCGCGATTAAGGCCGCACCATCGGTTCCAGCCTTGGATTTCGCCCAGGCGTCGATGTTCTGCAGGAATTCTTGAGCTAGGCTCATTCGCTGCTTTCTGTCGCGTTCTGATTGCTCCATTGCGGCGGCAATCCCAAGAAGGCTCGGGTGTAGGTCGTCGCCTGGGTCGATTGACGCCGAGGACGACGGCTGGTTGTACGCAGCCATGATGCTGCTTGATTTTCAGGGTTTGGACGGATGGATGTAGTAATTATGCGTGTGGAATGGAAGAAGGATTCCCGGTTGCCGTGAAGTACGATGCGGGCGCATGCACCGCGAGAGATGTGGCTGTGTTTTGCCGGATTTGAACCAGCGATCTACTGTCTCGAGTGGGATATGTGTCCAAGCGTTCCAGACTCTACTTGGCAGACCGGCCAAGACGATGTACCACCGCACCATCCAACCATGGCAGTGTTTATAGTGTCGCCTGCACTCTCGCAATCGAAGTCTTGGCGCGCACAAAGCTCAATTTGTAAAATACTCATTGCCATAATTCAATATTCCATGCCCGTCGAGACTATATCCGTCCTTTGCATCATCTTCTAAACTTGTCCTGATCCCTCTCACGTCCATCCCAAAGAGCTATCTCCCAGATTTGTGCTGCACGCTTTGCTTCCTCCGTCGGGTATAAATGTCGGCGTGGGCGTGTATTTGGTGGTCAACCGAGGCCAGAGAAGGTCGGAGAGAGGTGTGGTCACAGGGATGAGGATGTACTAGGTCGCACTTGTAGACTTGATGAGGCGTAGGTGGGTTTCGATCTCATTGGGATTGAAAAATTGACATGGTGGAGTAGTTTGAATCATTGCTATGTGGACCAACTTGTTCTGTATTGCGAAATTTGACTGAACTTGGCTCTGGGAGAATATTTCACTCCCAGGTTCGTAGATGCCTCGTACAGGTGTTCAGTCTTGCCCTCCCAGGGGTGCACTTATGACAACTGTGACAGTCACATCACTATACCAGGTCCTTACTCGTCTTTTTTATCATTACCTTTTAATAAAGTCGACGCTCATCTGGGAGATTGAGGACTTCCAACGACTCAAATTTCCGCTTGTCCCAATTCAGTGCATAGATATTGGCGATATGTTGCAATTTAATGCTATTCCAATTTGAATTAAGATTAAGGCTCCATTGACATTGGGAAATATTAGCCATTAATCACCTAACAACTAAATCTATTGTTCTCTCATCTCCGTGCTCCCCTCGAAAATAAGGCTGACTCCTCCTCTGATACCAAGCAGTTCTCGCCTTGGTCAATCGAACCAGTGCCAGTGCTTGGCTGTCGTCCTTGGTGGACCTAGAAGAGCCAAGCAGCGTTTGATCATGTCAACTCCTTCACTCGAATGGCAATCCTTTTTCATTTGAATGAGCAGCGTCGTCATGTATTCTTTTAATAGATATCATGTACGCAGAAGCCTATTATTTTCATGCTCTCGGAATTTTGGGATTCTATAAGTATGGCCTTTCCCTCCTCCTCCTCCTCGTTCAAACATCGCACTGCCCGATAAGCTGTACCATTCAAGTTGAATCCATCTTCATCTTCTTCACATTCTTCGTGTCGTTGTTCAGCCGTTCAAAGTAGATATATCGTGGCCATACACTTCTGAACCAGAATAATACCGAAGTCGAGAAACTTTTCACAATGCAGCTCTTCCGTTCAGCCTTAGTTGTGTCGCTCTCGATGTTTTCAGTCTCAGCCAGCGCCCTCAGTGGTGTATACAGGTGCCCTGGTCACAAAGATGACGTGGAAGCGAAATATGTGGAAGAGTATATCAACAGAAATGTTATTGATACAGAGAAGGCAGATTGGGCTCACTTCGAAGAGAATGGCGTTCAATATCAAAATCTCATCTTGTTTGTGATAGACCCTTTAACAGGTCTGTTGATCTTGTCCCAAACACAATTCGAAGCACCCAACACTAATGTAGATCAGACCCTAAACAAGTTCTTATTATGGTGAATAAAGATAAAACCATGGTAAAACTACGCATCCATCATGGTAGAGATTCATGGCCTTGCAAGTATATTCCGGCAGAAGACACAAAGAAACTAAGTGGTAAGGACGTAAAAAGGATTGTCTCACGAGTTGTGAGGAAATGAAAGCGGATTGAGAGATAGATATTTAAAGCTCATTTAATAGGGGTCAAAGACTAAGTAATGAAATGTTTAATTTTTCTCCATCCACCTAGCGTGTGTACCAGAGCAAACTATATGACTGGGAGCCAGGGATTAATTCGTCATAATTTCTTGATCCCGATTTGGTGTCCTACGGGCTTTTCTAATTGTCCATCAACTTCAAGGTTCAGCTTGGAGGGAACACGTTGGTAGAAATACCCAATCCTCTCTGTTCGGTGTCTTTGGTTTAACTCGTTGACCTACAGGAAGCGCAGTTATATCGTAGTTCCATTTACAAACTTGTTCTCATCTTGTCTGTTACTTCCGACAATTCCTGGCGTAGCTCTTCTCCTTCAATTTTATTTCAACTGCCCTTGCCAATAGGAACGAAATTGGAAGTCTTGCTTAGTCTTCTTGTAGTATGAGAGAAGTATGTATACCTCTATACCTGTCTCATGCACATTATTTCATGAGTTCATCCTTAGATGCATTCTCCTTACGCCGTGTCTAGTCTGACCTATATTCTACCGCCATGATTGTTCTCTGTCTAATATCCTAGAAGCTGGCCAAGTTGATTATTTACTCATGACTAAAATCAAGTGATCTGTCCCGTTTCATCGTCACTTAAGTGTGATATATTTATGGTACTACTTGAGTGATAGACTAACTAGCACATTGGGTTCCTCTCTGACCCAGGCCAGACCTTGTACGTTGTTCCTATCCTCTTTTGTTACTTGAAAGATCATTGATATATTCCCCTATATGAATAGCCATTCAGCTTAGTCTTTAAAATTGGAATTCAGCCACCTTTTCCACGGGACCTTCTACTCAAAAAAAATAAGGATGGTAGCAATGGAAACTGCGTGCGCGGGAAAAAGTCTCAAAAAATGGCAGCCCCAGCCAGGCGAGGCCTAGACACCGGGACCACATAAGGTGCGCATATTCATCTAAATCTCCCTTCTTTGTAACAGTCGAGGCCGACTTGATCCAATCCGCTATCTCCGTGTCGTGTGCTGGGTACGCTCCGGAAACTCAGTGGATGGCTTTTCCTCCATGATCAAGGGTTGGTGATTAGAAGGGCTCCGACCCTACCATCTGATCTGATCGTGGTTAGCTTCATGATAGTGGTGATAGAGGAATATGTTTAGGGATGAAAACGATACAGACCGCGAGAGCGATTGGGAATCCTCGTCGAAGTGAGGACTTTGTTACTCAATCTCGGCTCTGCAGACTCTACAGTGAGAACTGGAGGTTCGTAGGGGACACCACTGACAGGTGTTGAGAATAGTCCCCCACGGGTATCACTTTATATAGCACGTAAATGAACTGGACAAGAGAAGACAAATTGAGTGCCATGTGCCCACTTCGTATTTGCATTGCTAGACTGCTTTGGACCCCTGTCAGGTTTGAATTTCATATATTGTTAATTCTCATTGAGAAAAGGGCTCGGTATCCCACACAACTATGAACAGAAGCCTTATCTGAAATTGTGCATTTGTTCTTCGAGACATTTACTCCTGGGAACCCGTGACAATTCCTAACTGTTGCGAAATTTGATTGAACTTGGCTTGGAGAATACTTCACTCCCAGTCTCGCAGAGGATACCGTGGACAGTTACTCAGTCATCGCGCCCCCCTACCCGAATCTGAGTTAGATGCTCATCCATAATGGGCATTTTCCAGACATTTTTCCCCGTAACCTTAGAGTACAGAAGCACTTTGCAAGGTGCGACCAAGGTCATGGAGGAGACCAATACACCACAGTCGTTTCAGCCTTTAGCAGGGGATGATGTAATGACTGCTGCTTACGAAAAATGAATATTGATGTCATTCTCGTCCTACAGTGAGGTCACCCTGCACTGTTACCAACAACAGCTGTATCAATGAAGTCCAGCTGAAAAAAATGATCACAGAATATCATGGAAATTCCTGGGCTGATTAAATTGACTTGACAAGTCTGAGGGAGGCCAGTGTAGACATAACCTCCAGTATCTACCATCAATAAGCCTATTGGCTAGACGCAAATAAACCATTGCACTCACCATTACGTCTCGTAAAAGCTACTATAGACCAACAGAATTACGTCAACTAGTCAGGTAGAATACGAAAATGGAAGCGATAGGGTTGCCGGCATGGAACAGCGCCGAAAACAACGAATATGCATTGATCACAGGCGCGAATAGGCATGTAACCCCAGGCTTCTTCTGCGGCGTCGCAGGCATCAGCTAATTCATCGTCAGTGGCTTCGGATATTCTCTCGCTGCACGTCTTGTAGATGAATTCCTCTCCACAAGTATCTCGTCACCTGGAAAACACCTGACACTCATCCTCTGTACGCGCTCGCAATTCAAAACCCAAGCAACCATCTCTCGTCTCCGGCTACATATCCTAAAGCTTACCCAATACCCTCAGGCTCCCAGACAGTTCGAGTCCCAAGCCAAGGTAGCCGGAGAAAATTCACGATGGCAAGACCCTGCTCAACGTATACACCTCTTGGGCGTTGAAGCCGATCTTTGCAATCTTAAAAGTATTTATGCTCTAGCAGATAGACTCGTGAATGGTACTTTATTTCCCGATTCTAGGGACGAACAGCTTAGCTACGGGTTCACCGAGATTGACGCATCACGAGCTCAATGTCATACGAAGAAAAATGAGGAACAGCGAATGGAGGGAGGTAACCAAAGCATCCGAATACCAAGGATAGATATACTCTTCTTAACAGCCGGAATTGGTGGATGGAGTGGAATTAATTGGATTTCCGCCATGAAAGATATGTGTCTCGATGTCGTTGAGGCCGTAACCTGGCCCAAATACAAAATAGCTAAAGTTGGAGCACTCGCGAGACCACAACTTGAGTCTACGAAGAGAAAAGGGCTTGACGACGGTGCAAGGCTACCTCAGCCCATGCAGGCATCACTCGAGGAACCAGCTTTGGGAGAAGTGTTTTGTGCAAACGTATTTGGTCACTATATACTCGCTCACGAATTGATGCCCCTACTTTCTCGACCAGCAACGGCCTCATGTAAAAGCAGCTCCAAGATTATCTGGATTTCGAGTATACAGGCATCAGACGAAGATTTTTCCATAGATGACTTGCAAGCAGTTCGCTCGGCCACACCTTACGAGAGCTCAAAGCGGCTAATAGATCTTCTTGTCTTAACTAGCGAACTCCCATCAGTTCATCCGCTAGTTACATCTTTTTTTGACAGCGCTAACACCGTGACCCGTAGATCTAATACTGAGCGACCAGGAGCGGAGGAGGATGTGGTAATAATCCGTCCTAAAAACTACCTTGCCCATCCTGGCGTATTCGCTTCCGATATCATGCCGCTCAATTTCCTGCTGGTCCTCTTCGGGAAATTTGTTCTTTATCTAGTCAGATGGCTCGGTAGCCCATGGCACACAATTCAACCATACAAAGCTGCAGTAGCGCCCGTCTGGCTTGCGACGACGTGCGCCGAAGCATTAGATCAACTAGAAGAAGGCGGGCTTTGCAAGGTCAAGTGGGGGTCTGCCACTGATACTTGTGGTCGCGAGAGGCCCAAGCAAACAGAGGTGTCTGGCTGGGGATGGGATGGTCGCGTGGGGGCCCTTCCAGATGCCGAGCAATTACGCGGCAGACAGCGGGGTGCTACATATCTCTGTCGAGAGCAGAAAGAATCCTTTGAGAACTTAGGTCGGCAGTGCTGGCTTAATATGGAAGGCTTAAGACGGGAATGGGAAAGTGTCTTGGGGCTCTACTCGCCGACGTAAGAATCTAAGGGCCCATAGGTAATGTTTTTTTTGCATCAGTATTCCCATAGGTAATATAGAGTCTGGAAGTCTCGCATCGCATCCATCCACTCCGTGAGACTGACACCAGTTGTTGCGCGTCTTTTTCGTATTGTGCATGTCAGCATGGGTGTGCCTGCCGTCTACCCCAACCCCTCTGTTCGTAACAGTTCCTGTCGTCCCTAAGCCTCAGTGACTATCGGGGCCATATACGCATCCCCGCGCAGTGTTGTGCTCACACCGCAAACACGCATCGGAAACTAGTGGCTCGCAAGCCATGCAACAGGGGCGGCATATACGAGCAAATTTAGGGAGCTGTACCTAAGTTATGATTGAAAAAGGAAGGGAATTGCCCTACATAGCTTGCGGCCCCATGAAACCTACATGTCTAGCGCGCAAGTACAACATAGATACATTATACATAGGTCGCCACAGGTCATTTGAATGTCAGGCCGCACGAATTTGAGAACAAGCAGACAGTAAGCGACGCGCACGCGGCGTTCGAGAGTCACAACAAAAAGCTCACAATTCTCGATCCTGTACGCGTGCAGAATTAAGAATCCTCACTTTCTACATTCTTGACTGAAATAATTATGACTTTATTAGTGTAGTGGTTGTGTGTGGATGGCTACCACCATGTTATAATACAAATATTCGGCCACATCATGTCAAAGATGTCTTTTTTTCGTTCGATCCTTAACACGTTAACAATAGAAGGATCACGGGGCCATATTTTATCGGTGACTCTTTCGTTCACATGTATTCTCTTCCGAACTTCGACACCTAAGCTGCTAAGATATGGATTCGTTACTTCACATAAGCCCATTTTTGCAGAGCCAGAAAATATGTAAAAATGCGCTGCAATAAATCTCACCAGTTATTCGTCGTATCGCTACTAGATGCTCTTCTCTACAGTCTAGAAAATTTCGCATTTCAAGCGACCTCCTTATGGAAGATAAATACGATAAGCCAATGATATAAATTTGGTTAGTAAGGAATGCATTGTGTGGTCCCTGCCACGAATCTAGATGTACAATAGCCAAATATTAACTGCTTAACTGTAGGTCGTTCTAAAAATCTTGGGTTGGAGCTTAATATTGATAGTCGAGAGCTTGGCTTGCTCTAGCTCTGATATATGCTAAAAGAACGACTCTGTATGAATGAACATCACTGTTTCAAATCAAAGCCAACGTATGGAATTGACTTTGAAAAGTTTTTGCTTTCAATTTTAATCCTTCTAAATACTTCTGAAATTAATGAAATGCATTTATTGAGAATGATGGTAAGCTCTCCAGACGCCAACGCTGTTTATATCAATAAATCATTAACTATCATATACTGACCATAAATTTCGTAGTCGAGTGCACATGCTTAGTCGTTATTCATCTTTCCAGTTTTCTTCTTCTTCGCCCTCATTATCACTGTCGGTAAAAGTGTCCACCCGAACATCTTCAGATTTCCTCCTTCGAATTTGACCTCTCTCTCTCATGGCATCGCGAATTTTAGTGCTTACCTCACCGAAACCACCGACAGAATCTAAAGTGCTAAAACTCTTCAGAGGTAACCCTTCGCTTATAAATCCTCCAGCGCTGCTATTACTGTGACTCCTGTCTCTAGACGGAGCTCGTGTGGCAAAAAGCGAAATTGAACCAATATTTCTCAATGATTCGCTGCTTGGTACATGCTCGTCCATAAAATCGGGAACAGCAGAAAAACTGCTACCCCTGCGATGTAACCTAGCGAAAATTGGCGATGATGGACTTGTTTCATCGGCACGGAAAGGATCCATGACAATTCGAGAAGCATCGAAATCCGGGAATACTTCAGGCCCAAGTGTATTTATTACACTTGTCACCTCGGCACTTAATTTCTTACGTCTTTCCTGAAGCTTATGAATACTCGTATTTGATGCAGGGTGAAGGGACAAGACTAGCGGACGTAACGACTTCACCACATCCATTCCAATTTCTCCAAACCTTAGAGCTGCAAATGTGATTGCTAAAAAGAAAGCGTACCCAAGGATAACCACGGCCCATAGTGGAATCCAATTTGGGATAGTTCCTTGTATACGGTTGCGGTATGTCCAGTAGGCGAGCAAACCAATGTAGAGATTGTATAGTATAGGAGCAAAGGCAAGTGCTACCAGTAACTTCCATGTAGCCATTACATCTCGACCTTCGAGCTTTACTGTCGAAGCCGCCCGCGCTTCGCGACATTTTTTAATGCTGATTATTTTGGATGCGACGAAGACGGGACTGAACAGGATTAAACCTGGAAGCACGCCGATCGAGAGAATAGATATCTTACCTAATCGATAGATCAAGAGATAAATTACCTTTGGAATGGAGTGTTTAGCGTATTCAACTTGGTGATCCCGGAGATTCAAGTATCGTAACTGTCGATTGTAGTCTAAGACTGATTTCTGTAAAGACACTACCCTAGGATCATCTTTGTAGTGAGTGTATCCCTTCACTAGCCTCCGATTTAATTCTACCACCGTGGGCAGTGGAAGAATCTTGCCAGTAGGGTTATAGAGTCTCCGAGCTGCTTGGATGAGCATTAGTGTGTCGTAGTCTGGACTAGTAACAGTTACGGCAACAAGAGATTGATAGATAGTATCAAGCAACTGGCTCACGGCTTCTCTCCGTTCACCATTCCTGTACAGTGTTACAAGCTTTTCAGGAACTTGAATCGGATTCCCAAACTCAATGACAGCCCGGGACCTAAACTTGTGGGCATGAAAATAGTTCATGCCACAAGGAACAATTTTCAGATTACTGTTTGGTTCAGCGGCTAGAGCGCCTAGAGCCATGATAGCAACACCAGCTTTCAAGGGGAGTAATTCGGTTCGATCATGGCTTCCACCCTCTGGAAAGATTCCTACTGCTCCATCTCCACGGAGGCGATCAAAAACGGCGTCGTAAACCTTGGTTTGATCTACTTTTGGTGCAAGCTTATAAGTAGATCCCACATACCCAGCCTGAGGTCTGCAACATACATCACTGGAGGCTAAGCTATCCTTAATTTCTATGCCAGTAAGTTGTTTCATTGCAGTTTGACTTTTGAATGGCTTCTTTATTCTCAGCGTCGTAGAGTTCATGATTTCAGAAATCTCGACGTTTGCAGCGATTCCTTCAATGCTAGGTAATACCAATAAGCCACCAGCCTGGGCTTCTTCATCAAATTTTGTACCGATGCCGCTAATTAGAAGCGGATCATCCCTTGGTTGAGGTAGGTAGATGGTTCCTGACCCCCGTTTTACCATGTCGAGAGCTCTTGCCACAGGAACTGCTCCAACCTTGCGCGCAAACCATCCAATCAACCATCTGTTCATAGATTTTGCAGCGATTAAAAAGGCAGCTCTTCGGTGACATTCAGTTCGAAGTGTTTTCATCAGGAGAAGTGGGTCGACAAACTGGTTTGTATAGAGTCAGCATGCGGTAACCATGTTTAGCGACAATCTTGCGAACCTGATTGGCATGAGGTGCCGCTACAAAGATAACTGCACCATGTCTAGGGACTTTCCACGACCCACGTGGATGCACTTCACGGAAGAAGAGGTCGATTAAAATGGAGAATGTCCAAAGAAAAACATCATACACCCAATCAGTCATTGGATTCTTTTCGACATGCTTGGGCTTTGAGGAAGGCATGGAATTATGCAGGTCAGGATGCCTCGGCATCTCTGTTAGTGTTGTCAAGCCTTTCAGAGGGAGAGTGATTGTTGCTGGAGTCGGCGTGAAGGAAATAAAGGATTTAGAATCTGATTATCTCTGTCTGGAAGAGTCGGGAGGAGGGTGACAAAGGTTAGAAGAATCCAATATTGCAAGATTTGATGCTGCTGTGGAATGGGTGCAGGTAAAAAATTCAGCAACGTGTGGGACAGATGTCAATGATGCAGCTGAACTCATGACAGCTGCGAGTGGAGAAGCCGAGATACGGAAGAATAGGCGATGGGGCGTTGACTTCCTTCAATTCGATCGTAGTGACGGCTGTTGATACTGATCATATTAGAGATAATATGTAGCGCTACAGTTCGGTGGTTTAACTGATTGCGTAAGCGCTAGACGCGCCTAAAACGGAGTGTGGCGGTTGTTGTTGACATTGATATAAGGCATGAGACTGTGAACTGCTCCGCACAAATCCTCGCCGATTGCGCTATGATGGTCGAAATCATTTCGGCCACATTTTGGTTAAGCATGTGATGATCTACGGGAATTGTTGGAAATCAGGTTGTGTTCATCTGGTCTGTACTAGAGATCAGTCCTTTGTTCGCAGATGATGAATGGAAATATAGGGCTCCTAGCAACCGTTGAGCTTGGTGATCCGAAATTTGCATCGGAGGGACAGGCGAGGGGCTGCAGAAGCCTCTGGTTTCTTTTCTTGGGGCATATTTTCTGCCCTGGCGTGTCTATCTGCACGAAATGCATTCCCCTTCTTTGGAGTGTAAGGAAAACTAGCTACTTAGGGTGTGGGATATTCCAATATTTTTCGACTTTAGTGATTTGTGGTCGTTCAATATCTACCTACGGATTGACCTGTATTGACCATTTTGGCCAGGATTGTTACATGACGTACCGGTGGCTCTTTGACCATACGTAAAACAAAGCCTAGATCTTCTTGCATAGCGCCTTTTGAGGTTCCAGGCCATCAACTGTATACTGCAAGTAGAAGTTAAATGATCATAAGTGAGTGAAGTAGTGGAGGAGGGAGTGTGAACAATGACACGATGAATGGAATAAAACTAAAAGCTATCACGAGATTTCTGGCACCGACGAAAGCGACATGAAGTCCTTAAACAGTAATTTAATTTATCATTATTTTAATATACTGAGCATGAGCCCTCAGTCTTCAAGATACGATATGTGTAGTTGATCCAGAAAGACTCATAATCACCAGTGTGAACATCCGGAACGAGCCAGCAAAATCAATATCAAAATTTACAGTTTCAGGATCCGGTGCCCTATATCTCACCTGGATTCCTTTACTTCGTCCTTTTGAAATTGGCGCTACTTGGCAATGAAGAGTCGCATTAACATGGAACGTAATAGGATTCAATTACAACTAACCACAATTATGGCGACTCAAACATTGACCAGCCTCCAAATTATTAACGTGAACAAGTGAGTTTTGTCCTTCACTTACATGTAATAATTAGTTTAAATAGCGCTCTGATACTAAGTGAGTTTAATCAGCAATCCCCCACTATAGTTTTCAGACTCTTCAACCTCCCAACTCGCTTCACTAGGTGATATTAAATATAAGTGGAGGGCAAGACTGAATACCTGTACGCGGTGTCCTCTACGAACCTGGGAGTGAAATATTCCCCCAGAGCCAAGTTCAGTCAAATTTCGCAATATCAAAGAAGTTGACCCACGAGGCAAAAATTCAAATTACTCCACCACGCCAATCTTTCACTCCCAAAGAGTCCGATTCTCGACTAAGCTCCATCAAGTCTACAAGTACGATATAGTACATCCTCACCCCAATGATCACACCTCTAGTCGACTTTCTCTGGCCTTAGTTGACCGCCAAATACACGCCCACGCCGATATTTATACCCGACGGAGGAAGCAAAGTGTGGCGCACAAATCTGGGAGACAGTTCTTTGGAATGGACGTGAGAGGGATCAGGACAAGTTTACAAGATGATGCAAAAGAGGGATAAATTCTCGACGGGCGTGAAATTCCGAATTTTGGCAAGAGTTTTACGAATCGAGCTTTGTGCGCGCCAAGACTTCGCTTGCGAGAGTGCAGCTGACACTATAAACACAAGCAAACGATGGAAGGTGTTGTGGTCCGCCTCCTGGCGGTGTTCTCCGGTATAGTCTGAGTAGCCTGGGCACCTACTCCACTTGGGAAGGAGACACCTCAGATCACATATCGCGCGGAGAAAAGTTGAAAGATGATGGAGGCATGTCTGGATAACTCAGGGTTTTTGAGATGTTCCCCTGGGTGGGTATTCACGGATGAGGGTTGACTTGGGGTGAAGAAAAAGCTGCCATAACTTCGCAGTGGTACTTGCAAATGAAATCTGAGGCATGAGTGCTCCTCTTGTAAATTGAGTCATTTTCTCTGTACTTTTCTTTGATATTGTGTCATAGCTAGATAGCTGCATACGCAATTAAAATCTGATGCAAAAAAAAAAATTAAATATAAGTCTAACAGCTTAAGCTTCTCTATACAAATTACATTACAACACGTCCACCGATAGGTATATTTCTACGACGATAGCTTAGCTTGCGCCGACTGTTACCATATTGATCGGGGTTAGTATGTTACAAACCATCCAGAGAGGCAAACATGGCGCGTCCTGTTTACAAAGTCTCGCTGGTTGTACTGTGACGACTTCACACTTAACTAGGTGGTATTTGAATTTGAAATCTTTATCGTGACAGGACAGACCCAACATCTTTTTCTATGTGACACGAGTAGATGGGCCCTCAGAGCACATTGCTACCTACATGACCGGCAATGGAGCGAAAAGCGAAAAAATAAAATAAAAAGTACAGTAATTATCTTATCTATAGTGCCCTACGTCGGAGGGCAAAGACCGAACACTTGTACGCGGTATCCTCTACAAACTTGGGGGTGAAATTTATCTCTCAGAGCCAGGCTCAGTCAAATTTAGCAATACCAAAGAAGTCGAACCACGATGCAACGATTCAAATAACTCTACAATGTCAAACTCTCCCGCCCAGAGAGATCGATCTCCATAGAAACCTCATCAAGTTTACAAGTACGACCTAGTAAATCCTCGTTTCAATGACCACAACTCTCTTCGACTTTCTCTGGCCTCAGCTGGTCACCAAATACACGCCCACGCCGATATTCATACCCGACGGAGGAAGAAAAGCGTGATACACACGTCTAGGAGACATTTCTTTGGGATGGACGTGAGAGGGATCAGGACAAGTTCACAAGATGATGCAAAGGAAGGATACAAATTAGATGGGCGTGAATTCTGGAATTTTGGCAAGAGTTTTACGAATTGAGTTTTGTGTGCGCCAGGACTTCGCTTGCGAGAGTGCAGCTCACACTATAAAAACAAGCCAACGATGGAAGGTGTAGTGTTCCGCCTCCTGGTGGTGTTCCCCGGCATAGTCTGAGTAGCCTGGGCACCTACTCCACTTGGGAAGGAGACGCCTAAGACTACATTTCGCGCGGAGAAAATCTGAAAGATGATGGGGGCATGTCTGGATAACTCAGGGTTTTTGAGATGTTCCCTAGAGTGGGTATTCACGGATGAGGATTGACTTGGGGTGAAGAAAAAGCCACCATAACTTTGCAGTGGTACTTGCAAATGAAATCTGAGGCATGAGTGCTCTTCTTGTACGTTGAGTCATCTTTTCTGTATTTTTTCTCTGATATTGTGTCATAGCCAACTAGCTGCATATGCAATTAAAATCCTTAAAAAAAGCGGTTCGTACTCCGGCTAGTGCAAGCTCTTAGGTAAGAATTTTTATTCAGAATTTCCAGTGCAAGATACACTGGACCCGTAGTACCTGTGGCCCAATTACAGCGCAGATATTACACCTCACCCTCAATGCTTTTTCACATTTTGGATCTATCCGACCAGCAATCTATTGGCCAACCATGAAAAGTGTGCCACGTTAGATATGATCTCGACAATGATAGGCACTGTGTAGCCTAGCAGTAAAAGCAAGAAAAATAGGGCTAGTCATTCGAAGCTTTCAGCATGTCAATGGACGAACGTTATCTACGCGAAGCTTGATTAACTACTTTGAGACAAAATATATTTCAATTGCTTTTTATCCTCTAAAATTTAAAGGATTTATCTACCGTATTTGCTGGCAGGCTTACAGGCCTTTGTCATAACTAGCACAAAGCTAGAGAAATTGCAAAACGCCTAGTGTGACCACTCAGGCTCGGATCAAAGGAGGATTACCATCGGTTTTCTGGTAATTCCAATTTTACTTTCAATTTGCCACAAACAAGAACCTAGCCTACTATCTTGACCATCAAAGTGTCTTCCGATATGCACATTTTTCTCAGGATATTGTTGCGCCATTAGTTGTCAGCTTTCAATTTTCAGTAACTAAATCGAATGAGGGATATCTGCAATGTGATTCCGGGAGGCTCCAACGCTCAACAGGCCCCCCATTCTCATCTGTTGATATTTTTATCTCATCGATACACAGCAGGAACATGAAACTCCATAAATCCAACTCACATCAGCTCAGCGAGATTTAACACCTTGACCGTATGATCATTACCAAAAGTTTTCGCCCCATCTATAAAATTTGAGAACCATTCACATGGTTTCTGAGACAAACTTGCATACCAATACATTATTCTGCCTCTTATCCCAAAGATAAAATTTCATGTTCCTCTGCGCTCTTTATTTCGATTGAATCTTTAAACTCAAGATGATATTTATGAATCTTTGGATTCCAGGAAGTGCCATTCTTATCTTGATCGTACTTTACAAGTTTATCATTTACCCCCTCTTTCTGTGTCCACTTTCCAAAATACCTCGAGCCCACTGGAGCTCTTCTATTTCTCCAATTTGGATTCTATGGATAAGGTATAGGAATTGGGAAAATCAAAACGTTCACAGAGCCCACCAAAATTTGGGATCAATAGTTCGACTAGGCCCATATGAGCTGAGCGTCAATAGTATAGAGGCCATGCGAACTGTATATAGTGGAGGATTCGAGAAGGGTGATTGGTATTCAAGTTTTGATAATTACGGGTATGTATTTTCACCTTAACCGTCGAACAATGACTTAGTATCTCGAGTGTTCCATGTATGTTTTCAACACATCATTCGCGACCGCATTCAGCTAGAAAACGGATGGTAGCTAAAGTCTACTCAAAATCTTTCATTCAATCATCTTCTATCACAGCGAAACAATCACAGATTATTCTTTTTGAAAGACTGCTACCGCTTCTCAAAAATGCAGCATTACCAGAGTGTTTCCCGAATGGTATAGATATACACGAAATCTGGAATGCTACTGCCATGGATTTTATAACTGCATATATCTTCGGCCTAAGAAACTCGAGCAACTTTCTCGAAAACGAAGCCGTTCGAAAGCGCTGGTTTCATTTATATAACTCTCGAAAAAAGTATGACTTTTTCCCTCAAGAGCTCCCCAGACTCACTAAATTCTTGAAACGAATTCATATCAATCTTGTCCCCAAGTGGGTTAATGAAGCTACAAAAGAAATTGAGGCTTGGACTAAGGAACTATGTGAGACAACTTTTGATTTTGTTCAACGAGCAGCTATGGAGGAGGTGGAAGCCGAAAATCAGCCTGTTGTCTTTGAAGCCATATTCAGCGGTATACAAAAGGCAAAGGATATGGAAAAGGACTCTATTCTTGAGAACACCGTGGTCAAATTTCCTGAGCTTAGTATAGCGAGTGAGGTTTACGATCACTTAGCTGCTGGTCACGAAACTTCTGGAATCACACTCACCTATCTTTCCTGGCATCTTTCTCAACAGCAGTTAGTCCAAGACGCTCTCCGCGCTGAACTTCTAACGCTCGAACCAAATTTTCTTCTCTCTTCCAGTCAGAATCATCATTCACTCCCAAAATTAAAGGCTGTTGATGAACTCCCACTTCTTCATGCAGTATTGATGGAGACACTACGCCAGCGCACTGCAATTCCCGGCGGGCAGCCTCGCATGACGCCTGATTTATCATGTTCCCTTGAGTCTTATAGCATTCCGGGTAACATGCGTGTAGGCATGCAAGCTTACAGCGCACATCGAAATGCCGCAGCTTTTCCGAATCCGGAAATATGGGACCCTATGCGCTGGCTTGATACACAGAATGGATACACCAGGGAACAACGACAAGAGCGAGATCGTTGGTTCTGGGCATTTAATAGTGGTAGCAGGATGTGCATTGGGCGTAATTTTGCTATGCAGGGTAAGCTCTCCGCATCTCTTCCTCCCCCCCAACCTTGATTTTACATCATTCCAAAATGCTCAGGAACCCCATGCTGACCCACAGCACAAGAAATAAAGCTCATCATTGCTGCCGTATATACGAATTTTAGAACTCGAATAGTAGACGATGAAGGAATAGAGCAAATTGACGGTCACACTTGTGGCCCGGCAAGCGGTAGACTAATCTTAGAGCTCGAGGCGACAAAATGACTACTATTATTTACAGTTCGTTATATATGGAGCTTATCCACATATGGCTAGATTATAGAGCTTATTTTACGCTGTAATTGCGTAGGAGTTATAATGAAATGCAGCTTAACCTAAAATGGAATCGGGGTGGGGCGAGAGGGCGCTTAAATAGACCTGGAAACTTAAGGATGTATATTGAGGCAGCATATTAACAAACCTAATGCTACTTCTTGATTCCAGATAGGATAAAATTGCTAAGCTTTCCGGGGAAAATAATGATACCGGCTAAGTTCATGTAGCATGAATAGTTGTCTTGCTATACTAGATCAAAGACTATTGTGGCATTCGCCCCCACGACATGTAGCGATTGTAAGAGAGAGGAGTTGCTGAAGATGGCGCTATTGACCCCTTATGTTGTGCGTAGGCCCGGATAGTGCGAGTGACTGCTGCCAGATTTGAATTGCAGAGATACTCGCATCAGAAATCTGCCCTTCGCAGGCCACAGCCAGAGCCACTTCTCCCGGGAACCCAAGAATCCCGCGCTAAGCTTTACAATTCCAGGCTCCAACACCAGCCACACCATCACGCTGGCCTTTAATTCTACGTCCAATAGACATGATAATCCTGAGGTGCGCGCCATGAGCAGAAGAGGCCATCACTAGACTCGAGGCCTACGAAGCATGAGAACGTGGGAGAGGCTTGGGGCGGAGAGCGGGGAGACTTTCTGCTTGCGGGAGTTATTCTGTCGTAGGAATCATCGAGCGGAAGTGCATTATGCCAAGCTCGAGAGCGAGCACGGGGCCAGCGATGATTGTGCGTCAAGCGAGTTCAGGTTCCCATGGGGCTTTCCAGTGCATGCGCCGGAAAGACTAGAGGATGCTAAGACAAGGATAGAGCAAGCTAGAGAGGCCCCGCTAGTATAAAGCCAACGTAGAACCGACGGCCAGCTGATGTGGGTCCAGGACTGGCCCGACAGGGTCGCGGGTTAACCAGATTCGCACGCACGGCACATGGATATTTATGATTGTCTCATGACCTTATGCGTGGAATCTCACGTGACTTCAAAAGCAGACCTCATTGGAGTGGGGGGGGGTCAGGGGAAGATTGGTGGATTTGGGCGCAAAGATATGCTGGACTTGGGACGTAAACGTAATACACACTAGTGTCAAGCTCCACACGAGATCCGTTGTAGTTGTGAGCACGTGATAGCACGAAATCACTCCCATCTTAGGGGGACTATTCTCAACACCTGTCAGTGGTGTCCCCTACGAACCTCCAGCTCTCACTGTAGAGTCTGCAGAGCCGAGATTGAGTAACAAAGTCCTCACTTCGAAGAGGATTCCCAATCGCTTTCGCGGTCTGTATCGTCTTCATCTCTCAACACATTCCCCTATCACCACTATCATGAAGCTAACCACGATCAGATCAGATGGTAGAGTCGGAGCTCTACTCGTCACCCACCCTTGATTATGGAGGAAAAGCCATCCGATGAGTTTCCGGAGCGTACCCAGCACCCGATACGGAGATGGTGGATTGGATCAAGTCGGCCTCGACTGTTACAAAGAAGGGAGATTTAGATGAATATGCGCACCTCATGTGGTCCCGGTGTCTAGGCCTCGCCTGGCTGGGGCTGCAGGTTTTTTGAGACTTTTTCCCGCGCACGCAGTCTCCATTGCTACCATTTTTATTTTTTTTGGGTAGAAGGTTCCGTGGAAAAGGTGGCTGAATTCCACGGGTAAATACTGAGCTGAATGGCTATTCATCACGGGGAATATATCAATGATCTTTCAAGTAACAAAAGAGGATAGGAGCACTGTACAAGGTGTGGCCTGGGTCAGAGAGGAGCCCAATGTGCTAGATAGTAATAGACTCAAGTAGTACAATAAAACACACACACACTCCCATCTTAGTTACAATCACCCCATAATTTGCTATATTCCCTAGCTCGGCTATCCCAGCCATGTCGCTCTGGAGCCAGGTCGGGTGGTGCAATGGTAGACTATCTGGCCTGCACTCCCAAATGTGGTTTGTAAAGCAACGGCATCCATACCACTCCTGCCAAGAGAAGTACCTCAATTTCAGCTAGGCTAGACTAAATCTTGGGCGTTGGTGGTGGATGGGATGGCAGAGGTGTATCTGTCCCAGTAGGGTTTTAAAGGTTCCTGTTGGCGGAAGAGCGCGCTCATCGCCAGTCCGTACTGTGGCAGCAAACACATCTCACGGTAGCGCCCTCAGATATTGTTCAGGGGGGAGATCTTTCTCAACTAGAGAGATGCTTATGACATGTAAATAAGGCTTGATTTTTGCTCTGATTGGCTCTAGCGTCAGTGCATGGTAGACGTCTGGAGACTGGTGATTTTGCGGGGCAGACATGCTCCGGGCTGTTCCGCCAGAGATCTGCGAGGGTTGGAACGACCGCCCCATCTCTCATGCACAGCTCGCTATGCCAATCGCTTCGCCCTTCTACGTCGCGAAGCGCGGCCACCATGTCCCTGGTCCCGACATGATTTGGACTTCTTCGTGTCCGGCTACACAACGTATGACCTCCATCTCCTGCCTCTCATCCAGCCTGCGACAAGGTAGGGCCGCCTCCCTCCCTAAGCGTTCATGACGAAGCATCGGGTTGAAAGATGCAATGGGCCTCTTTAAGCGCCGTCTGGCTCCTTGCAGGCCACTAGATTCTCTGGTATTTACATTGGAGGAATCCTAGCAGTAAGAAGTGTCTTGCCTAGCTTACTCTTCTTTTCTCGCAAACATCGCGTTCAGAAATCTTGGCTATTACCTCTCCCCTCACTGAATATGGCCCTCGACATCTGTGTCCAGCTTATGAGCTGAGCTGAGCGCCATTACTAGGGCCAGTGGTATAGTAACGGAGGCTTTCATCTATTGTGTATGCAGCTAACTCGCTATCGCACATGGTTATTGTCTAGTCTATATGTTGGTTCTTTTGACTTCTGAGACACTCAGAATCTAGCTTTCATTTGCAGAGACCGCTCTGAGCTATGTCTTCTTACCTAGAACAGTTGGTTCTCCTCTGTGAGTACTCACTAAAAGAAAGTAAAAATGCGTTGATTATCAAATACTATCTTCGTCGTTCAAGTACACGGTCACCGCAAGCAGTTTGGTCGAATCTCGCTGACTTTGAACTTACGGTCTGCTATCACGAATAGGCTAGGGATCAAAGCTATTCATATCCCACCTGGGGAGACCTGTCCAGTTGATGTACCACTGCACCACCCAGCGAGCCCTTGATTTTGGCGCCTACAAACAGCGCAAGGTCGAAATGCCCTCGAAAATATCAGGTCAAACATATTCATGGGCTACATAATCCCTTTCATCTTTGATGTTCCACTTTCCTTTCCTCCCTCAACTCATGAAACTGTATTTGAGCAGCGGTCCCTTGTGATCTAAACCCCAAATTTTCATATTATACCTAATTTATTCTCTTTTCGGACATGCTACGATATGGCCTCATAGCCCTCCCTTTCTCGAGAGAGGTAGGTGTCCGGCTACCCAGATTTTGATTCTGGGAGATGAGGATCAGTGAGACGGATCAAAATACCTTCCGTCGATGCCTATTTTTTGAGTGTTGGTTGCACCATCCCAAATCATTGCCTCTCCGACCACAGACACCCGTAAGTCGAAAACACTCGAAAAGTATACGTTCCAGCATGCCTATTTGTGACCTCTTCACTCGTTCGTCCCACGTCCCAACTGCCCAGCCATTCTCAAGATGTGGAATCCCAACATAGCAACGGTTCCTATAGACCAAGACCCGAGCTTTGTATATTACGATTGAGTTTCCTCCTCGCGGGTAAAATAGCATAGTAACTTTATAGTGGGAGATGGCTGGCTTTTGATGAGGCAAATACCAAATTGCAATTGGGGTAACGTCATTATTGTTGAAAATATGGATTACAGAGATAAGTCAGGTGATGCTTGATGGAATTAATTGATGAAGGGTTTGGTTGATGAGTTTTCTATTATTTCTCTGTTGGGATACACTTTGTCGATCCTATTAGGCTCGATAATAAGTAGTCCCGATCGGCTGGTGTTTGGCGAACGGAGATTGCGTATACCCTGTGTTGGCGTTATTTACTGCTACTAATAGAAGACCCCGCACGGGCTATCTATAGGGATTAAAAGGAGTCTGGTACCTGTGTTTAGAAAAGTAGTCGAATTGACACCCTTTTGTCCTTCATTATTGCATAAGCTTCCCTTTACCAATAAAGTCCGCGAACTAAGTAGTGGGTTATATATTTCAATAATTATCGGTATTTGAGGCGAGGTGGTGTAGTAAGATTAAGGTAGAGAACTCGCGTGAGAATGATAGGTCTGAGAATGACGAGAAGTCGTAGACTTTAAATATGCTTGAGGTTGCTTTCAACTTCGATTCGAATACGATTCTTCTTGGCTATCCCAGATATGCAGAGCATACTGAGCGATTATACCGGCACCACTAGTGTTGGTAAAACACGAAGTAATACAAATTGGGTGCCGTCATGAAGTCAGCTGTCTATCACGCAGTCGGTGAATAATATCATTAACTGGTATCTCGAAATACATAAAACGCTGTGTCTTCTTCTCCATCTTCCTCTACTCCAAACCTCTCGCTACTGAGCTAAGTCAGATCCCTGTCAGTGTCCTAACGACAACCTGAATACCACAATAAGATAGAACAATTCATACTGCCCAAATATGATCCATTTACTGACAACTAGAATATAGAAAAGGTCAAGTTGTACCTAGATTTTGCTTGATTTCGGACCGCCTCCAAAGACCACACACTCTTGTTAGCACAGCGGATATATATGATTCAATGAATAATTAGAAACAACATGAATGAATTGAGATGATTTAAAGCTATCTGTTCTAAAATCTATTGAAGTTCATGTCTCTATGAGCCCCATTGCTCCTAGCTTATCTTGAGGGCACCAATATTATGTAGCCTGTCACACGTTCTGTAACCGTTGATGATAGCCCGGGGAGTCAAATGTTTGAGTAAACCTAAGCTATAAACC